GTTAAAAGATTAACCCAAGAAGCTATACCATTTCCCAATACATACTCCCAGAATACTGGAGCATCTATGGTCACAAAACAAATAATGGTGGAAATAAAAGATCAAACAAACACTAACACCATCATAGTGGGTGACTTCAACACTCCACTTCTATAAAGGGATTGATCACCTAAACAAAAAAAATCACTAAAGAAGTATCAGAGCTGAACCACACCCCTGAACATATGGAGATTGAAGAGGAGGATAGTAGAAAACAGAAAGATATCCCTGTTCCTGTGTAGGCAGAAATAATATTGTCAAAATGGCCATACTCTCAAAACTGATATCTAGATTTAATGCAATCTCAATAAAAATTTCAAAAGTATGTTTTACAGACCTGGAGAAAACAATTCTGAAATTTATATGGGACCAGAAGAGATCCAGAAAAACAAAACAATCTTGGGTAACAAGAGCAAAGCAGGTGGAATCACAATACCCGATTTCAAGTTATACTACAAATCAACAACGACAAAAATGGCATGGTTTTGGGGACAAAAACAGACAGAACAGAATAAAGCATATAGAAAAAAAAACCCCAGACATAGTCAACTATTACATTTTTTAAAAAAATTAATTTTATTGGTACATTTTAGGACCGCAATATAATGACATTCATCATTGGGGATTTGTACCTTTATATAATATGTCTTTATTCTTATTTTGTCCCCATTCCCCTGCCTTCCATTCAACCCCACCACCCCTCTCTGGAAACCATTTCATTTTTTGTAAGGAGGCCAAAATATATGTGGAGGAAATTAACAAATGGTGCTGGATAACCTGGCTATGTAAATGCAGCAAATTAAAGCTGGACTCCAATTGCTCACCAGGAATTAAACTGAAATTAAAATGGATTAAAGATCTAAATATTAAAGTAGAAACAATGAAACTACTGGAAGATAAAATAGGTGTAGGCAAGGACTTTCTGAACTGAACTACAGCTGGATAACAAATAACAGCAAGAATCAGCAAATGGGATTAAATCAAATTAAAAAGCTTCAGCAAAGAAAACAATCCACAGAGTACAGAGACAACCTAGACAAAGGGAACAAGTGTTTTCCAGGTATTCCTCAAACAATGAACTCATATCTAGAATATAGAAATAACTCATCAAACAATGAACTCATATCTAGAATATAGAAATAACTCAAAACACTTCAGACTACCTAAGATAAAAGATCAAACAAACATGAGCAAATGAAATGAAAAAATATTTCTCAGAAGTACAAATCACCAATAAGCCTATGAAAAAATGTTCACTATTTCTGGCCACAGAGAAATGTAAATTAAAGTAATGCTGAGATTTCATCTTGCATCAAAAGAAATTACATAATGAAGAAATCAAAGAATTACAAATACTGGAATGTCTGCACTAAGAAGGAACTCACATACATTCTTGGTGGGAATATAAACCAGGACAACTCTTATGGGAATTGGTATGGAGATTTCTCAATGAACTAAAATTTAAAATTCCATTTGATCCAGCCATTCCATCTAGATATCTTGCCAGAGGAGGTAAAAATCATCACATTATAGAGATACATACATACCTATGTTGATAGCTGTACAATTCATAGTAGCTGAATCCTGGAAGCAGACGGTATGCCCATTGACAGATGAATGGTTAAATACTACTCAGCCACAAAGAATGAGAAATTAGAGTCATTCATAGGAAAATGGATACATATTGAGGATATACTCCTAAGTGAAATAAATAAGTCACACATATATAAATACCGAATAGTTTCTCTGGTGTGGAAAACTATAATGGTACATAAGATCCTAATGATATAATTGACAATGTGAAATAGGAAGAAAAGGGCTAGAGGTGTAGGGGAAGTGGGAAGGGTAGGGGAAAGGTAATAAGGAAAAAGAAAAAAACATGAGAAAATGAAAAATGGAAATAAAGTGTTTGTAAGTAGGGAAGGGAGGAGGGGTGAAGGCAGGGCAGGGGTATGGGGAAAAAATGAGAACCAAGACCTGTCATGTAAAGGTACAAGATCCCACTAATGAATGTAACTGTACTGTATACCTAAAATGTACCAAGAAACTCAATGAGAGAAAAAAGTAACTATATACAATGAAATACTACTCAGCAATAAAGAAGGATAAATTATCGACATTCGTAGGAAAACGTCTATACTTGGAAAATGTAATGTTAAGTGAAATAAATCAGAAACACAAAATACTATGTGGTATCTCTCATTTGAGTAAGGCAAAGTACAAGGAGTAAAATATAGGATTGATAAAAGGAAACAGGGAATCTAAACATAGGACGTTTACAAAAACTAAAAGATCTTTTTTGCAAATGGGAAGGGGTCTAAGAGACCAAGGACAAGGGGAGGGAAAGTAAGGAAGAGAAAGTAAAAATACTCCAGATGTGTCATGTTTATGTTCCAAGTACTCACAGGGGATATAAACATTATGTTATAAACATGAACTAAAAATGACAAGAATCGCAACAATGATGAAAACAGTGAAAGGGGATTTAGAGTCAGAGGGAGGGAGATGAGTGAGGAGGGGAAGAGGAATAAGTAAGAGTTGAAATGTATTATGTACATGTAACTACTTAAGATGGATGTAAACTTTATGAACAACAAGCAAGTATAAAACAAAACAAAACAAAGCAAAACTTTTGTTAAATGAATGAATGAAAATTGTAGGGTACTCAAACTATATAAATTGTGGAAGTATTATAAATAGACTGAGAAGCAATGTGTCCATTGTACTGTTTAAAAAGGTACAATACAGTCCCACAGATGAGTAATGTTTCCATCTCTTGCTTCATTAATATTATCTAGAATGGGAGATTATCAAGCTCAGTGTGATTAAGAGTGCCAACACAAAAGAAAGGCAGATTTTAGGTTGTTTTAGTAATTATATAACATACAGCTGAAAAGAGAGCTCTATGGTATGATGGATGTATAAACTCAAGATATATAGTATAGGGGCTATTTGGGAGATAAAGATATTTGAGAAAATTGTGCCAAGTATGTACAGGGCTGGGTGGAGTTGGGAGAATTTCACTCTCTTCCATTATTAAATGAGTATTCTGTGCTCAGTGTTGGACAATGTGCTTTATATTCATTATCATACAGCATTTCATTTAATTTTCTTCAAACTCACTGAGGTAGGGGTTAATATGTCCATTTTAAATATAGAGATTTTTAAAAAAAAACTTCAGCAACATAATTTCTAAGTTCAGAGCCAGGATTTGAAATGAAATCTGTCAGATTCTATAACTGAACCTTTGATCATGATGTTAGGAATAGCTGCTCTATTTGGGAAAGGTGATATAAAAGACCAGGAATTCCTCTAATGTTGCAGAAGATGCCTGGTATTCAGATTTGTTATAGTTAAGCATTTTATTTCTAAGAATTAGATTAGCTGACCTATTGATTTAGATTTTATGTAAAGTAATGATGTAAAATCAATTTGGAATTAATATTTGAAGATCATTTTGAGTATTAAAATATTTTGTAAGTATTTTTTTCATAAATGTTTTTACTCCTGAAACAGAATCAAACATGTAAGAAAGATTGAAGGTGTGACCAATCAGAAAGTAAGTTATTATCAGACACTGACATCCTTATTATCAGGCACTGGCATCATCATATAAATATATATTTTTAAATGATATAATAAATACAAAGGATTATCAGATATTCAGGTCAAATAACTTTGCTGCATACATAATAAACAATGCTTTTCAGAATACTCTTTTTTGGTATTTAGACTATTTTGATTTTTCACCGTATAAAATGGGGAAAATAATCTAAAAAATGCATTTGTCATTTATACATCTTTTTAATATAAACTCAGTAGCATGCAAAGTTTCTACCTTTGTCACATGTGGAGATTTAACTGTTAGGGCATTGAATATAGTAATATGCAGAATAATTTGTGAAATAATTTATTGCTTAAAATTGGGATCATTTATTTATAATATTCATAGTATGGCTGTAATAATTTTGGAGTACTTACAATAAAAACATGTAATTATTATTGTTTTTACATCATATATTCAGTCTTATTTTTAGTTTGGATTTTGTTTACTCTCCATTTAATTCACCACAAGCTATAAAGTTTTGTCCTAAAAAGGCACATGTGAATTGCAAAGAGTTGACTGACAGAATATGATATTAATAGGTTATTGACTTGTTAGGTCTTAAAAGAGCCAAAGGGAACATCCTTTGCAGCCCCTGCAATGCACTGGAGGTTTGTTTCATTGATTGGTCCGTTTAACCCATCATCGTCAGGCATTTAAACAATGATATACGCTTGACAAACCTAATATTTCATTTTCTATCTGGGGACCATGGAGTAGAAATTAAAGAAAAGAAAGACAAATGGATAGATATACAAGCAGAAAATGATGATAAATGTGAGAGGGAAGGAAGAGACAAATACAACACAGACTAACATTTGGATCACTAAATTCTGAAATTGGTAAATGTATAACCTAATAGCAAATGAAAGTCCCTGGAGGTGGTTAGGGGAAATGAGTTAGCATTTTTATTCTGAGAAAAACTGAAATTTAGGTACAGAACAGCAAGGTGAAGAAGATATAAAATATTTGGTGGTTATTGAGAGAGGATTGGGTAGGCAAGGTACTAGTCTTTAAAGGATCTTGAGTACGTTTGGAAACCATAAATTTGTAGGCACTTTATTTTACCTAGTCTTTGCCTTTTTAAACCTTGAAAGGAGGTGTGTGATGACATGAAAAATGCTTCTTCCTCTTCTCCTTTTTGTAAATTTAAACTTTTCTTTTGTTACTAATCAGAAAATACATTTCTTAGAACATTACCCCATATTGTATGATGAACAATCAAAAGTTACTAGTCTATAATTATCAATGTGTCTGAATTTCCTTCAATCTTTTTCTGGTGTAGTGGAGCAAATAAACATAAATATATAGACTGGCTATTTTGTGGGATTAATTCTGATTAGAATCCTATTTTAAGGTACCGTGTCCCTGGAAACCGCAGTCACTTGTGCTGTTAGAGGAGCACAGAAGGAGGGCCTAACAGACAGACCCACAGCACAGACCAGTCACCTCTGGGAAAGGCAGGCTGTCCAGAAAGAGAAAACGCGGAGGGCCAAGTGAGCCACACTTCCATTCACACTATATGGTTCTCCCTCTCTCTCCCTCTCTCCTCTCTCTCTCTCTCTCTCTCTCTCTCTTTCTCTCTCTGTCTCTCTCTCTTCTCAGTACTGGAGATAAAACTCAGGGCCTGTGAGCAAAGTGTGGCGCCACTGAGCTACATCCCTGGCCCTTATGCTAATTATTTTTAAACTTTTAAGATCTCCAGGGATATCACTCTATTAAAAAAAAAATACTACCTATTTCTGTGTATGGGGTGTAGGGCACAAGATGGGGCAGTCAAGTAATTTTAAATGGCATTATCAGGAAGCTGAACTTAACCAAGTTGTCATTACATTGTGTGTGTGTGTATGCAGTCTTCAGGCTGTATGATACAAGAAACGGGAAAGATTAGAACCTTTTGGGAAAGAGACAACTAGATCAGGGTCTTAAAGGTCATTGAAGAAGAAAAGAATGCAACCTTGGTTGCTTGAAAAAGCATAGAATTTGGAGCTGTTGTGGGTGGACTCTGGCAGCACGATTACCCAGCAGGCATTGAGGCTTGGCGTGTGTCTCCAGTCAGCCCTGGGTTTGAGTTTCTATGCCCCAGCTGTCTAACTCTGGGAAAGTCCTTTCACACATCCCTCACCTTTTCATCTGTAGATGTAGACACCAAAGAGAGTTCTCAATACTATTGTTTTTTTTAGAAACAAATTACTTTTAAGTTGAAGAAATCAAATGTGTCACAGAGTGATTGTAATTGACTTCAGCATTGTTCATTTCTAAAGCATAGAGGAAGCACACAGAAAATGTAAGTTTCTGTTATCATCAATCGTCAACCAGAAAACTAAAAACCTTCCTTTTTGTCCTCCCCCTACTTTTTACTTCAGTTTGTAATGTTAGTTTTTCTTGACTGCTTCCTAGTTCATTTGATGAGTATTAGATAAATATGCATAGTCTTACAGACATAAAACTAGAGCTTCTCTATTAAGATCAATAAAATCATAATGTTTTAAAAATATAACACATCTAATTTATGAGGAAAGCACCACTATATTTATTCACTTAATGAAAAAAATAGACAATGCATTTTGTTTTACTTACTTGTAGGAAATAACTTAGGATTTATAAATCAATTGCTTATTCACTCATTCATTCATGTGCTCATTCATTCATTCATTAAAATTATTGACTAAGTCATTGCATCCACATACGATGTAATAAGATCCTTTTAGGTCACTCTTCCAAGTACTGAACATATGAACATTCAAATATAGAAATTCAATGAAAAGATATACCTTTATGTTGAGGCCAAAATAGTAACAACTAAAGTTATGGTTTAAGATAAATTCTGAGGAGAGAGGTGAGAGGATAAAGTTCTTTCCCAGTGATTTAACATGTGGAAATTTGTCACTTCTCTCTATTTGAACTCTATCAGGCAAGAATTTTATACATTTTGTTTTGATTTCCAGATAAGATTTGTGTAAGCTTCAGTAGTCTTATCAGGTCAGTTCTCATTATATAACAGTAGGGTCAAATAATGATGATAATATTGAAATACAAACTTTGACATCTGGAACTAAGTAGTAAAATCATTGGTACTAAAGATAGAAATAAGGAGGGTATTAAGCCATAAGCCTCACCTGGCATGTTTCATTAGAGACTGAATAAAATTCTTCAGTGGAATTTGCAACACTACTTGTACTTCATCTTATTACTTTTATGAGGGACAAACAGCCATGTAATTAGAGTGTATTTGAAGTATTACACGCTTATTTGTAGCCTGAAGATTAGATACCAGTTGGATATTATCATTTAATGGCAAGTATAATTACCAAGAAGCTTGTTCTTTGCATCTAAGGGTTTACATGTCTATGTTGCTACAACTCCATGATTATTTTTCAGTTAGCTTATATCTGTATTATTATTTAATGATTACATGCATACAAGATATAATAAGATCATTTTAAGTCACTGTTAAAAAATGAATCAGCTATCCATAATAAGTACACAATAAATAGTTTACATTATGGCATTTTCTATTTTTATACTAATTTCCAATGCAAGTTATCACAACCATATATTTGGTTTCTTGGGAACACACACAGATGTGTCTTCAAGACTTTGAAACTTACTGTAGTAATAATAATAATCTGCCATATGTATAGCAGCTCAAACTGCCTACAAATATTAAACTTCATATTAAAAAAGGGAAAAATAAGACCTTATTTTAACCAGAAGGGAGTTTGTAATGTAGGGAAGTTGTCCTTCAAAACCCCTGAAGAGGGCCCTGGATTTAGTTCAGTGGTTCTGGTGCCTGCCTTGCAGGCGCAAGGACCTGAGTTTGATCTCCAGTACCCCCCAAAAAACCAACAGAAAAACAAAACCCCTGAAGAAAAGTTATCAGAACCCCTGGAGAAAAGTTCCTACTCTGTGAATCATAAATAGTGTCTTTTGTACAAGCTTCGTGTTGTAGAAGTTAAGCAGTGACATGATGCAATCTAAAAATACGTTCAACTGAATTGACAAGAATTGTGCAGTGGAACTCACTCAGTACAAAACGGGGCTTTCTGGGGAAGCTGAAAACAAAGGCCAAAGTCATCCAGAGCTCTGTGAATCAGAGAAGGCAGAGGAACCAGAAAATGTGTTGAGAGGTCCTAGAAAGACATTTCTGGAGTCAATGAAAGGAAGCATGTGCTATATCAGATGAGCCTTCAGTGGCAGGTTGGTATAGTATGTATTTAATAACCTGCTGTCCAGGGGCAATAAAGCCCACATTTTTAGTATTTGCTGATTATCAGGGTGTTTACCCCACTGGGCTTGATGTCAAGCTACTGACATGATGTCTCCAATTATGGAGTCGAGAATACACATGCAGTAGCATGCACATCATTAAGTAGTATTTCCATCATACAAATACAAGAGATGGAAATAGACTCAAATACAAAGATCATAGTGAAGCATAAGGTTATGATGTGGTGATGTTTTGAATATTGATTGTATTTCCTTTATATAATTTAATCATAAATCATATAATTTTATTTTAAGTAAAAGCTTTGATTGGCTTGCAAAGTAGCTGAAAATTGAAAAATTGCTTTTCTCCAGCTGATGCTAATTAGTCCAGTACACCATTGTTCTTAACCCCATCTTTCCACATGTATAGAAATCCAGATGCTGGTGCCCTGTTAGTTTAAGGCTGACATAACAAAATACTACAAAGTACTACACCTACTAAAGTAGGTGGTTTAAAAACACCATGTTATCTCACCTGTATTGTCTCACAGTCCTGAAGGTCAAAAGACTGAAGTCAGTGTCATCAGGATTGGCTATTTTGAAGGGAGTGAAGCAGAATCTGTTCCATTTCTCTCCTGGCCCCTTGCTTGGTGTTCCTGGCTTGCTACATCTTTACCTTGATCTCTCCCTTTATGTGCACATGGTGTTCTCCCTATGTTCATCTCTCTGCTCAAATTCTGTTTGCTAGGTTTCGGTTATAGTGGATTAGATTGCATCCTAATGCCCTCGTTGAACTATGTCTGTAATGAGCAATTTCCACATAAATTCACCTTCTGAGGTAGTGGGTGTTAGGACCTCAGGGTATGAATGTTGGTGGGTATGAATATTGATTCATAAAAGGCACTGACATTGAGAATTTTCCTTCTATTTTCAGGGTATTCCCATCTCCTCCATGAAAGAAATTGATAGAACTACTGGTTCTTTGGGCCTGGCGGTCCTTATCGCTTCACGCTACTGTTAGAGACAGTGTGATCTCATGGTTAGGGCACAGGCTGCTCTGAAGTCAGGTCTGTGTTTGGGTTTCTGCTTCCTCAGTTCCTCTTATGGGCCACGTAAGCTCTATGGCTTTTTCTGTATTTACAAAATGTGGGTTAAAGTTAACTTTCAGGATTGTTTCATGAACTGAATGCAAGACTGAATATAAAGATTCTAGCTTTAATGTCTACCGCAAGCCAAGTGCTCGATGAGTGCTGGCTGCCATGTTGCTGAAGATACTTACACCCTCTGAGGTAGTGGTAGGTATGGTGTTTATGTAGTCACTGCTATGCGTTTAACTCCTAGAAGCTAGGGGCTGTGTCCCTACTTATTATTATCTGATTACAGCCATATGGCTTTGCCAATGAATGTCAACTGAATGAAACTGCATATTTTTATTAACTTTTATGTTTGTCGCTGATAGAGAAGCCTTGGTGCCAATTCATAGTTATTTCTGTGTTATCTTTCAGCCTTTTTATTAGTACATATTTGCAGTACTTAATGACGACCTTTATTGTTGGGAATTGGTAAATTTGCATATTATTTTTTAAATGTTCCTTTCTTCTTTCCTCTTTTCCCCCTCTCTCCCTGCCCACTTGCAAGCAATCTATTACCATGTTTCCTATTATCTATCTTTAGTTTACTTATACTGTGTGGAGTTCCTCATATAAGAGAAATCATGTGATATTTAAGCTGGTGCGTGTGACTTATTTTACTTAATGTTATCGTCTAAAGGTACATGCATTTTTCTAAAAATGACTTGAATTGATCATCGTTAGAGTGGAGAAGTAGTCCATTGTGTATGAATACCATACCACATTTTCTTTATCCATTCATCTGTTGATGGACATATTGGTTACTTCCAAGACTTAGCTATTATGAGTTGTGCTACTGTAAACATGGGTCTGCATGCATCTCTGTAATATGATGTCTTTAACTTTTGGGGAAAGATAACTAGAAAGGGAAAAGTTTGACTGAGTGGAATTTCTATTTTTAGTTTTTTGAGGAATTTCTACAGTGATTTCCATAGTGGTTGTGCTAGAATAGATTGCCATTACCATGTAGAAGTGTCCCTTTCACCCACAGTCTTGCCTGCATTTGCTATTATCTGACCATCTTTTAAAGTTGACCTAGAAGTTAAAATGCTTCAGCATATTTCCATCATTATAACAACCTAAAGTCCAAAATATGTCATGATCTCAGGCCATTTTAATTAAACCTTTTATTTTGAGATAATTGAAGACTCATATGAAGTTTTAAGAGAGTCTTGCATATCTATATCTATATCTGTATCTATATCTATATCTGTAACCAACTTTTCCTAAGTGGTAACATTTTACAAAGCTATAACTCAATTCAGTAACAACCAGCATATTGACAATGATATAGTTCTGGTCTTGTGGTTAGAGAGAACAGGTGTTTGGGATAGCTTTTTCTGTCTACACTCTGTAGGTCACAGACTTCTCCAGGACTCAAATTCAGATATATAAGAAAAATTAATACCCAGTGAAATTCTTCCATGTTTCTTGATCTTAAAGCCACCAGAGGGGCTATCTTTTCTACCTTTCAGAATCTTATGTTTACCTTACACATAATTTCTGGAGGTTTTTTAAAAATTGTGTTTAGTAGGGAAATACAGAAAAGCATTTCTATTCTCTTTGTGGAAGTGGTAGTCGAACCTCACAATTTTAAAGGTAATGTACAATGGAGACAGTTTCAAAGACTTAAAATATTTGCTCCCTTTTTGTAAGTCAATGCTTTTTAATTCTTATTAGTATAATTTTTAGTGTTTCAGGTTTTAATTTATTACTTAAGAAAAAAGTTCAACTACTGAGATTACTAATGACGTTAGTAAGAAAGACTTCTTTATTGTATCCTACCTTATTTATTAATATATATTTATTTTATATAATAATGGGGTTCATTGTGGCATTTTCATACATGTGTATAACATATTTTCATCCCTGTCATCCTCTGATATTCTCTCTGCCTCTCTCCTCTGATCCCTTTCATCTTCTTTAATAGTCTCCCTTCCATTTCTTCCCTCCCCTAGGTTTTACACATAAGAGAGACATACAACACTTGCTGCTCTTAGTACAGCTTATTTTGCTTAACATGAACACCTCCAATTCCATCCATTTTCTTGCAAATGACACAACTGCAGGATTTCTAAGGTTCTAAGATTCTATAGCAAAAAAAGGTGATATATTTAAGTAGGTAAAAGCTCAGATAATATCACATGGCACATTATAAATGAAAAAGGCATTATTAAAATACATATTAAAATCCAGTCTTTTGTGAAAGTCTTGCATATGGAAACCACTATGAGAGTGATAGTCTGGCTTTCATCCATACATTTAAAATGTAACTTCTTTAGAAAATAGAAGAAAGGTTCTCGCGAGTGAGACTACTGAGTTTTAATTCTGAAATCAACCAATTACTATCTTTACAACCACAGGATAGCTTTTAATGCTTCCTCATCTGTAAATTGAGATGGGGTGGATTGTGAGGATTAATTGAGATAATACACATCCAATACCTCGCAGCTCTGAGAATATACCAGCTGGTCTACAAACAGTAGATCTTGTTATCTTTGACAGGACTGGACATTAGTGTTAATTCAGGGTAAATCACACATATAGTCCATGTGTTTTGCAACTTTTGTCATTTTACAAAAAGATATATTGAAAAAATGCCAAAGAAAATTGTTTTTAAAATTTGGAATAAAAAATTTAGCCTACATTGAATAATAACATGCTTAACCCTCATTACTTCAGACTACTTTTGTTAACTATCTATGCAGAGAAAATGGAAAGGGAAGCAAAGCCCTCTTGATAAAAAGCTACATGGGAAACTTTAAAGCAAACAACAATAATTTTATTCCAACTCCCTTTTAAGACAGTAGCAAAAATTCTATACATTTGTATACTGCTTTACAGTTGACAAAGAGCTTTCACATACATTATCTCCTTAAAAAGAGACTGGAAGGCGCCTTCCTGCCCTGATTGATGTTTATGAATGTACTACTCTCCCCTGGGCTGCAGTCATCAATAGTCAATGAGAAGAAAGGCTGGCCTTTTTGGAAATGTTTTGCTGCCAGGTAACTGCATTAACTCTGCAATTGTTGAATAGATCCATGTATTAACTGTGCCACAGGACACCATCCATATCAACTAATGAATATTTGAATTCACATTCTTTATGGAACAGAGTTTGAGACCTATTCCTCTCTACTTATCTAGTGCTCTCCCTCAGGTTCTATAACCTCAGTAAAGTTTTGTCAGATGTCTCCAGACATTTCAGAAAAATCTACACGGAGCAGATTTTACACCTAAAGAAAAAAAAACTGTAGAAGTACATAAACAGGTAAACTGCCGCATGGAACAGGGATCACACCGAAGGCAGCAACTGATTGCAGCTGTTGATTTTCAGAGGAGACATATTTTTCACCTACATAGAGAGGACTTCCTACAATAATAATTACAGTGATGGTGAGCAAACAAGGTCTCTGTCTGTAGAAAAATTTAAAACAAATCTGGGATGGTTCAGAAATCTCTTCCATGGGCTTCCTAGACTCTGGGAATCTAGGATAGAGGATTTCTAAAATCTTGTCTGATTCTAGATTCTCTGCTTCTGAGATCCTATTTGTTCTTAAATTCTTTGTAATTCTGATTATGTCAAGTAGTGTTGATGATTCTTTGACTGAAAACAGAGGCGAAATCAAAACAAACACTACATAATGCTCTCCAGAGAGATTTATAGAAAAAAAGACTGCATTTGGAGAGTCACATCTGAACCAGAACATTCAGTCATGCTTTGTTTATGGTTTACAGGATTTTTTTTCCAATCTTACTACAATTTCCAATTTCTATCAGTAATGATTCTCTTGACAGTTTTCCATTTTTCCACGCAGCTTCAGCTTCGGTTCTGGAATTCAACAAGCCAGTTTCAACCAGCTGAATTAATATTGCATAGATCAGCCAATTCTTCATAAGAGGAGATGGGATTCTTTCTGAGCTGAATCCACACTGTACAGTCAGTCACACATGATAGCTCATTTTCAGGAATCAGTTTCAAAATTGGTCATACTTCTATTGGCTAAAATGGAATTTTCTAATTTGCTACTTGTAAGTGCTGTGGTGGTGTGTCTTGATTAAAACCTAGCTGTTCTTAAGCAAAAGTAGTTAGAAGCGTGAGGGATAAAGCATCTTTAATATTTGAAAACTAAATAATGGAAAGCATGTTTCTCTTTTAGGAATAGCTATCATAAATCTTTTGTAAGTTTAACTTCCACAAAATAGTTTTAACAGATATCCATTATGGTTCATCACATTGGTGGTTGGCTTTTAACATTTGTTCTCCTCACTAGACTAGAAGCTCAATGAAGTCAAGTTAGGCGGACAGATGACACCAACACAATGCCAAGCACTGTACATACTTACTGAATGGATGAATGAGAAGAGTGACAACTTGCCATGGTTCAAAGAAAATGGGGTTTGGAGTCAGAGTATGATTGAAGTCTGACCTCTGCCACCTTTTACTCTGGTGTGTACTTGTATAACTACTTAAATTTCAAGTCTCAGTTTTTCAATTGTAAAAGTGGGTGGCATTATGTATGTCAAACACTGCAGTGAGAATCAGGATATTTAAAAGCTGGTTCTAGTAAAATGCTCAAAAACTACAGTTATTCTTAGTGTTGTAATAAAAGGCTCTTTGTTAATCACTAAGGATATCAGAGGAAACTATTGAGAAAGAAAGAAGCACAAGCAGATAATTTCACATTAAATGATACGATTCATTTTAGAGGTAGTTGCACTGTGCTATGGGAACACAGGAAGGCCATACAGCAAGCAGAACTACCATAATTCATGGCTTCAGAGGTCCGGTAGGAACCCACTGCAGTCGGGAGAGAAGGAGGTACTGCAAGTTGCCACTCACACACATTACTGATTGGAACGAATGAAATTGCTGATATTCAACAATGTTTGACATACAACAATAAAATATGGAACTGAGACACATATGATTGCTATCCAGAGAAAAGGGCAGAATTTGAGATGTCCTGTCTTATGTCAGCAATAGAAGACAAGGAGGAATCATTTCAGTGAAGAATTGGTAGTAGACATAGAGGGGCCAGCAGATGCTAAGCAATAGAGGCTTCACGCAGCATTTTTGAGGGGCACGTATAAGAAATTCAGGGTTCTGGAGAGTAAAGATGAGGCAAGACGAGATAGGACATGAAGCTGATAAGGTAGACAAGGGTGAATTATTTAAATACTACAGAGAGGTCCTCTACCTGAAGCAGAGACAAAGTCACTACTGGGGAAACACTAATTCTAGAATACCAAATAGTGCTTGTAGTAACTAAATTGGACGTTGCTTCTACCAGGACCTTCTTTAACTTTGCAGTCTAAATCAAGTGTTCCCATAATCTCTTTCATGAAAATGTATTATCTTTAATAGTATCTTTATTTTTCTCATGTTTTGAGACAATACATTATATTTTTAAAATTTTATTTGTTTAATGTCTGTGTCCTCTACTAAATTACAAACTATAAGGCAGTAGGGACCTTGTCCACTGCAGAATGCCTGAAACTAAGTAAGGGTTCAGAAAATACTAGTTGAAGCAATGAGTGGTTACAAATAATAAACTTTTTGAAGTCTGCTATTCATATACCAATTTATCCCTGCCAGCAATACTTTGGGAAAGTCCACTGCAGGAGCCTAGGAGAGAACAATCTCTTGCACTTGCTCCAATTACCCAACTCACATGAAAGGGGCCTGTTACCAGTACCAGACTACGAGGAAGATAGCCTCCTTTCCTTCTGACTTTGGAGTGCTCTGGACTCAGGCCTGTATGACACCAGGTGCCAGGTCATGATTGGCTCCACGCCAAAACAGGGAAGTGTGGAGAGAAATGTTGCACATTTTTAACACACGAACTCAAAGCCTCTTAACTAGAGATGAAGTGGTTTGAGTGTAGGGATAATAAATGAAGGAAGTCTTCGTAATATTTTACTCAACTGAAGGCCATTTGTTATGGAATGTCATCCAAGAAATGTGTTAGTTACATGGAAACAGCATGCAATTCAATTTGTCAGGCATTTGGATATTGTAAGAACTTGAATTAGGTCCTGTACTATAACACTGGCTGCTAAAGGAAGTGGGGCTATTCTTGTTTGCCTCTGGCCTATCAATGTTAAGTATCTCATTGATCTACTGTAGTGACTAGTTTTACATTGTAAACAGAAGCCAAATCCAGAATTTTCCCTGCTTGTATCCAGTGTTGCAAATTATATTCAATAGACTTCAATAGAAGGAAAATAAAATATAAAATAAATAAAAGGGAAAGCACTGCACAGAAATGCAACACCTGACTATTTCTACTGCTCTGAAATTTCTATTGCCTACCTCACTGTGAACAAGATCTGAATTTCTAGGTTCTTTTCCTTCTTACATAAACTATCAATTTGAGCAACATAGCAATTGCATTTTTCTTCCTTTCAATGCAGAAGTGCACATTCAATGAAAGCATGTAATATCTGAATTATTAAATATGACATGAAGTAAAAGATAAACTACTTAATAAAGGAGAAATAATAATCATTCAAGTAAGAAAGTTATGGAACCTTGATGTGAGTGCACACTCAGAATATTTAGGCTTAATCTCTGAACATTAAAATGTATTCTCCCTGTAACATAAAAGCTCATTGTCATGGGAATTTGAAACAAAACCTTAAATACTAACCTAAAATGTGAAAATTTCTTACTGAACTAAGAGTTTAGAGGAGAACCTTCTATTTGAAACCTTAGATTGTGCTTAAATAAATCTGCTTTTAGAGGAGTCACATAAATGCATCTTACAAGTTCTTTAGAGTTTCAGCAAAATTAACTCAGCCATTCATCAAGTTGGGTTCAGTTTGCTGCTATCTGGAGCTGTAGCAGTGTAAAATCAATTGGATTTGGAATGTAGATTTCTATAGTTATTAAAACAATGCTAACATGTATCTGCAGGGCTCAGTAGGGAGAGTGTCACTGTAAATGCTCAGCCAAACCCGAAATACAGGTGGAAGAAGCCACCTGTGCACTCATTCCACAGGGTCAAAGATTATGGCGAGTTTTAAGTATTGGGGAAAAATAGTTGCTTTATCAGGGAATCTTGAATATAAAATGTTAATTCAGTCACCTGCAAGAATTAATGTGACTCCTTAAGATAGTAAGCTGAACAATTGATAGTAATTTGGGCACCCAAGGAAGAAATTTCACTAGGTGAACCTTTAAAAACTAAACACTTTTCTCTTGGAATTTTCAGACCATATCCGTATTCAGAGAGCTAGAATACTTCATCATTGCCACAGAGGACGAATGAGAAGAGAGAAAAATATTATGCACAAGGGCTTATTTGCAGGATGAGAAGCTGAACGATCAGATCTATCTTGTAGGAAATTAACCAGTTACTCCACAATTTACTTGCATGGCAATTAATTCTGAAGTACCTTTCAACACAGTAAACGGAAAATTTATTTTCCTCTTCTGAAAGGCTACTGGTTTAAGAAATTGACTCTATTTGTAGGGAAGAAAAGAAGCTAAAACTAAAACCTTGGGATTTCTGAAGAGAAATACATACTAAGGGATCTACAGATTTTATTTTATAAGAGTTTAAAAATGTGGCCGGCAGGTCTTATACTCACTGAACTCAGCTGGGCAGTTCTAGCAAGGTAAGGACCTTTCCTTCCTCAGCAAGTTAGAACCCTTGGAGAGGAGTGGAGGAAACCAGCGCTTATTTGAAGACAGGCAGAATTGCGACTGACCTGCTCTTGGGGAAGGGAGAGCAATTAACTCTCCCTCTACTGTAGAGAACTAGGTTTCTCTTGATCTCACAGTAGACTTCAGCCAGTGACCAAGATTCTTTTCAGCGAGTGAAATGGAGAGCGGTGCTGTAATACCAAAGAGGAGACCTGCCCTGGTCTGGCGTGCATAGCGAGAGAACTTTCATAATGAGGCCTGTGGATAAAGGACTGAGATCCTTTACAGCAGAGGGAAGTGCAAATAGGGTGCATCTGAGCTGGTCTCTTGGAGCCACTTCACCTCTGAGCAGGTTCGGAGCTTTCAAGCCCCTTGAAGTTTTAAAAAGGCACTGATTTCAGCATGAGATGTTTGCAGCACTGTGCTCAGCTGGAATGAAACGAAGGGGAGGAAAAGTAACTTCTTTCTTGCATTCAGAAAGCAGAGGCCAATTGAATGGATTCTACTCAGACTGATTGCGTTTGTAGTTTTTGAAAAGGAAAAAAAAAAAAAAGCTAAGAAGTTTAAATCCTATTCACTAAGTTCACAAAAACAAAACCTGGCCGCAGAAGGACTCTGAGAAGTGCACACACATCCTTACACGAGATGGACAATTTAAAACAAGCTTCATTAAATAAGTCCCTTTCAAGCTGCCTGGTTAGTATAATTCAGTAGCTCATAGTTTCTGCCTTATTTTAATGGCTTTCTTTACTGTGGGCTCTCTGAAATTAACCAATTCTATATGTTTTTGTATGTTTACAAGGGTTTATAATTCATTGCATTAAAAAACAAAATCTGTTTTTTTCCTTTTCTCTGTAAAGTGCAGGATATATTACTGTAAATACCTATAGTTTCTAGTTACTACTGTGCTATTTAACATGGAACCCAACAGAAGTGTTAAAGGGCAAAATTTGATTATTTTAATTTGCTCATTCTGTTCATTTGATGTCTCTGCTCAGTCAAAAGGCACAGTGCAGATAGGAATTCTTCTCTCTCTTCCACTTATTCTTTGTTTGTGCAAAACGTTAAACTTGTATGAATTCACTTAATTCACATAATGCTTTAAAGCTTATTCAGTTACTTGAATCTCCTTTATGGTTTCCTGCATTCTCAGTCTTGGTCCAAAGACCTCCAGAGGTCAGGGAATTGGGTATTACTTCACTTTGTACAGGACCTGAGACAGAATGACGTACAGTCCTATATTTAACAAACTTTTAGATAACGATGACAGCGGTGAGCAGACATCATGCCACTATGTATGAGGGACTCTGTAAAAAGAATATTTCAAACCTAGCATTGCAGAAAATCTTGGGCATTTGCACCTGTAAACCCACCTTACCAGAATATACTTGCCTTGCCCCAGTGAGTGAAAATTAATTGCATTCCCCTCAAACAAAATGACACAGTTTATATTATGGGCTTCTCTAATCTTCAGTAATTATTCCAACCCCTGAACACTTTAATTTTCCCAATTAATTTATAATTTCTGTCTTAAATTACTTAACAGAGGTAAAATCTGATAACAAACATTTTATTCTAAACTTGAGATCTTGTCATTTTTTAAACTGTTGGCACAATAGTGTAGTTCTTTTCTCCCCCTTTGTTCCTATTAAAGGATCAGTGACAGCACTGAGTTGTGATACAGGGTGAAGGTGGAAGATCACTGGTGTGGAGTTGAGTTGGGTTTAACTTTTTAAGCAAGCAGGTGTCCATTGATTGAAAGGAGATAAACTGACTGGGATGGTCTGGGATTCCTCTCTGCTGTGATGGCTCCTTCATTTGGGGGTGGTGAACCCTAGGTTGATTCTCTTGAGCTGCTGGAGGGTGATAATTTGGCAGGCTACTCTTTACCTTTCAGTGAACTATGAGGTGTTTTCTTGGCAGGCCTTGGAAGTTAGGTGAGAAACCTGCTCTATGTTGTGGGATATCTTGATGAATGTGACCTAAGAGGGAAGCAGTGATCCTTAGTAAGGAAGACAGTGGAGGGATTCCAATGCCAAGCTGCCTTTCGAGCTAAACAGATTAGAAGTATTCAATTGAATAATGATAAATATACAGGAAGTTATGTGCATAATGGTTAAACCAGATGTAGGAAAATTCTTTTAGCCTTAATAGCATTTGGGCAAGAAATCTGAATGAAAAGGATGTTAGTTTAAAGGAATGATAGCTGGCACTTGACTGGAGATGATAAAATCACACGGGAAGATTACCACTAATAAAATAAAATAAAGAAAAATTCTCTTTCAATAATATTCTCTGTCCCTAGTGAATCACTTTATACTTTGAAGCCCCAAATTTATCTTTATGTTCTCCTTGAGATTTGGTGTAGGGCTGACTCAAGTTATCTAATTTATCTCACTTGGTGGTTTCCCACATTAAAAAAGCTTCACACCATGTCTCTGTTTTCATCTATCTCTTAAAAATTTATTACTATGATTAGTTTTTCTCAAACTATTTTTAGAGTATTTTTATGATCACAGTAAAATTGTGCGGAAGGTACAGAATTTCCCATATTCTTCCTGTTTCCACAAACAAACAACCTTTTATATTTGTACATTGGTTATAACTGATGAATCTGTATTCAAATATCACTATCCCCTGAAGTCCTTCAGATAATACAGGAGGGTTCACTTTGGAGTTCTATATTTTTAGGATTGGGAAAAATATTTGTTGTATTGATGTGTGCTTGTGATGCATAACAGTTACATTCATTTTGGAGAACTGCCATACACGCATATGTGTATGTGTGTGTGATATCTTCATCCTTTTCCATCCATAACTTCCCTTCCCTCTTTACCCAGAAAACCATCAAATGGCATGTATCCACTGAAAGAATATACACCTGAACATATTTAAATTGCTTCTCGCTCTTATAGTCTTATCTTATACTTTTTTCACTATTTAGAGAATACTTTATTAGTTTCTGTAGTCAAACCAATGTAGATATGACCTTACATATTTAGTATGATGTGTTACCCCTGTACACATGGAAAAAATAAAAATAGAAATAAAAATAAATTAACATTTCTAGACCAATATGGTTGTCCATTTCTGTACAATACCAAGTCAACACAGTAAATTGGGATGACTTTCCATCTCCAGAATTGAGGATTATTTTGATGTTACATCATTGCCTTTTCTCTGTTACTTTGCTTTTTAGTTTTATTTTAGGATTCCCTATTTTTAATGTTCATACAGAGATTTCTTTAACTGAAATACCAAATAGTTTCTTTGGTGTGAAAAACTATAATAGTACACAGGATCCTAATGAGACAATTAATAATGTGAAATAGGAAGCAAAGGGCTAAAGGTGTAAGGAAAGTGGGAAGGGTGGGGGAAAGGTAATAAGGGAGAGGAAAAAATATGAGAAACTGAAAAAATGGAAATAAAGTGTTTGTAAATGGGGAGGGGAGTAGGGGGTGAAGGGAGGGCAGGGACAAGGGGATAAATGAGAATCAAGACCTATTATGTAAAGGTACAGAATCCCAATGATGAATGTAATTGTATTGTATACCTAGATTGCACCAATAACCTCAATAAAAAGAAAAAAAAAAGAATATACAACACCAAGGTTTTTGCCTTTTTCAGAATGTAATCCTGTTGGAACTATATTAGACTTTCATTAATACGATGCATTTATATGTGGTCCATATGTTTCTGTAGCTTGATAGCTCATTTTTCGTGCTGAATAATATTCTATTTTCTGAATGGAAAATAGGGTTTGTTTATCCATTTACCTACTGGAAGATACCTTGCTTTTTCCTGTGTTTTGGTAACTCTGAAGCTGCTATAAGCATCTGTGTGCAGACTTTTGGTTGGACAAAAGTTTTTAATTTCTTAGGCTAAACAAGCTCTGATGAGTGTGATTGAAGGATTATATAGTGAGAAAATGTTTAGTAAGAAACCATCAAACTGTCCTCGAAAGCAGCTGCACTGTTTTACACTTTCATTAGAGCTTCTGTTGCTTCGTATCATCAGCATTTGGTTGGTCAGTGTCAGTGTTCTGGATTTTGGCCATTGTAATAGGTTTGTATTCATATGCTGACTTGCTACCTGCACATCTTTGGTGAGGTTTCTGTCAAAGGATTTTTGGCCCATTTAAAAAATTGTGTCAGGTTGATTCCTAGATACTTCATTGTTTTGAATGCTATTGTGAAAGGAATTGTTTCCCTAATTTCTCTCTCAGTGAGTCTGTTATTTGTGTACAAGAAGGCTATTGATTTTTGGGTGTTGACCTTGTATCCAGCTACTCTGCTAAAAGTGTCAGTTAAGTCTAGAAGTCTTTTGGAGTTTTTTGGGTCTTCAATGTAGAGTATCATATCGTAAGCAAATAATGACAGTTTAACTTCTTCCTTTTCTATCTTCATTGCTTTACTTTCAAAACAATCAGCCTCCCCAAATATAAAGACCCTATTCAAAAATGGGCATCTGAAATGAACAGACATTTCTCAGATAAAGAAGTAAAAGCAGCAAGTAAATATATGAAAAAATGTTCCACATCACTGGTCATTCGAGAGATGCAGATGAAAACAACACTGAGATTGTACCTCACCCTATAAAGAATGGCTGCTGTCAAGAAATCAACCAATAACAAATGTTGGTGGGGTTGTGGGGAGAAAGGAACCCTTGTCCATTGTTGGTGGGAGTGTAGACTGGTGCAACCACTATGGAAATCAATATGGAGATACCTCAAAGAGCTCAGACTAGAGGTTCCATTTGACCCAGCCATCCCTCTGTTGGGCATCTTTCCAAAAGAATTAAAAGAATCATACCACAGTGATATATGCGCACCTATG